GCCGCCATTGTCCGCATCGGTACAACATCTGCGCTGAATCCTGTGTTTCCTCAGCATGCACGCTCATTGCATTAGCACTAGCTCAGACTGCCGGAGTGTTATTTGTGTTGTCTTGTGCACATTCTAGCGGGACATGCACGACATGCATTTGGGGACAGGAGCGGATCCTTGCTCCACGCATCTATCCACATGGCTCGACCAGCGGGTCCTGGGGTGGTCGTGGTGCTCTAGGTTGCATTTGCGTCTGGTTGGCTGGGATCGCTGGCGTCTGCGAGGCTGGCACCGCCGACGTCCACTCGCTCCTAATCAACGCCCACTGCGTCTACATGTTTGGACTTTTACAAACTGGAAGTACAAGGGGGGAGGTATTATCTCGACAAGACGTGGCCGTCCTCGCTGGCTTACTGAGTCTCGAGTACCATGACAAGTTGTACATTTTTGACATCAAGACGTGGCGGCTCTTCTCGTGTGCGTCGTCGAAAGATATGACGCAGCCCAAGCGATTTCAGGTTGCAATTCCGCTAAGCCAGCTCTAAGCAACTAAGATACACAACTTATGAACGCAACAACGTGAAAGTACCCGGGGGCTCGCTACAGAGAGTCCAAAGAGCGCAACATGCCCAGACTTTCCGCCCGTGCGCTACGTGGTTTGCCACTTGCATGGACAAGACATCCGTAGCTCAATGAGTGCACCAACGCACCAAATCAAATCATGAAGTACACTCAAACCCAGTCCTATTTGTAAGAGCTTTTGAACAGTATCGACTTTACGCGTGTAGGAGGCGTCTCTACTGGTAGGCATCTCTCTGGTTACTAGTACGCCGCATATCTAGGTTTGTGACCCTAGACCAAGTCAGTCGACCGGGATGAGGAGATGTGTCACTTGATGTGTTTCTTTCTACGGGAAAAGCCTGTTGATGTGGGGCTGTACAACAGACCTGTGGCAGTCGTCACTCGAAAAACAGCCACTTCCCGCTTTGCTTTTAGCACACACGAGCGTTCGAGAAGCTCGTGCCTCACCCCCAATGGTACGATAAAATCGACGCACTATCAAATTTGAAACAACTCAACAGGAGCGACGCAGCGCGAGCCCGCGCCGCCAGCAAGATCAAGACCGGTAAAAGACCGGCGGCCGACGCAACACCCGGCGCCAAGAAGCCGCGTGTCGATACCAACGAAGCCGTCGACGCCGATCTCCCCCCGTCTCGCGACATCAACCACTTGGTCGCAGCACTGATCGCGGGCATCCCCACCGGGACATTGAAGGTACTCCTGACGGCGAAAACGCCCTACATGCATGCAGAGCGGCCGCACCACCGACCGTTCAACGTCGTCAAGGCCCCTTCATCGACGAGGACGGCCAACGAATCAACGCCGTCTTATACAACCAAGCCGCAGAATATTTTGAGCTCCGACTCTTCATCGACTGTGTGTACGTTGTCTCGACGGCCATATAAGATAGGCTCTCGTCCAGCGCGTCCCCGCCGACAGATAGTCGGGGATCGTAATATCCTGCGGCTTGGTCGTAAATACGGCGTTATTTGATGACCGTCCTCGTCCATGAAGAGAGCCTTGACGACGTCGATCGGTCGGTTGTGCAGGCGTTCTACGTGGTACGAGGCTCAAGCTCACGGGTGCAACCGTCGTCCCCGCCATCCACGACGACCACTCGCTCGCTGTCCACGTCTTTCTCTACTTCTTTGCATTGAATACGTCGCCAATCTATTCCTTCCAGCCCCTTCCCCCGGAACCTGGTATACTCTGTATGGCTTGCTCTCCCAACCACTTTAGTTTGATGAAGTGTCATGGCGGCAAAAGGGCTTGCACGGAAAGCGTCGCGATGCATCCGAGCATGCAATAGAATCGACGCCTTGTGTCCAGTTTCTTCGGTCGACCATTGATTGGTCCGCTGCAAACAACACGTCACTTCGGTCTCTTGACGCGCGTCCATCAAGCACCCGCGCAGCCAACGACGTGAGAGAAGACGACTACGCGTCTCTGTTGTCTGCTTGGCATGGCATTTTGCGATTACCCACCTCTCCATCATGAAGACGACGATCCTTGCAGCCATGTGCACGCTTGCGACCGCGGCGGCGCCACCTGCGACGAGTACCAATGCATCACCGACGACGACCAAGGACGAGCACTTTGTCGAAGCCATGCCCTACCACGCGATGGACCACGAGTGGTACGGACGTGGGTATGGTCGTGGAGGCCGCTGGGGTGGCGGTTGGGGCGGTGGCTGGGGCGGTCGCGGTGGCTGGGGCGGTGGCTGGGGCCATGGCCCCGGGTGCGGTTGCGGCTGTGGCGGCGGCTGGTAGGACGTTCTAGCTTATCGGCTTCCCACTACTAACGTCATGTTAATTCCACTGGACCGGTTGAAGCCATTTCCTCGCCTTGCATCTCGTTTCAATACCAGCGATGTCGCCCCCCACCTAGCTTCGCTGTGTCCTCTCTGGGATGTAACTGGGCTCTCGCATCCGGCGGGCGAAACTGGGCGAAATGGGTGAAACCAGCTCACATGTCCGGATACCGTCGGGTATTTTCGTTTTGTCCGGATAAAATGGGTCAAGCCATGCGTATCCGAAACAAGTGCAATATCCATTGCGAGCACTACGTCGCCATTTCCACGTTGGCCTGAGTCTAGAAACTCCCAAGCTCGACACCATACCACTCCTCGCCAGACCGCCGGTCATTGCATGCGCTACCTCGGGCGCCCGCCTCTGCGTCGTTGCCGCAGCCGCTGCACCTGGAAAGTCACGGTGTTACCGTACTCCTGACAGCTCGACGCCACCGTCGCTACCAATGCCAACGTAAGCTGTGGGATGGTACAACACAAGATGCTCGACACGGCGGTCGTTGACCATTGATCGGTCCGCTGCAAACAATACGGTCGCGACGCGTGACGAAATACCGGCGATGCATTGCTCGATCGAAGAGACGACGCGCAGTGACGACCTCGTTGCCGTCTCGACCGATGCGGACACGTATTTTTCTTGTGATAGCAACAATAAATATTGAACACCTCCTTCATTTTTTGATTGATGCCTGGGAGCTGTCGCTCCCCCTACCATGTCGACTTTGATTGTCAATAAAGTCGACATGATAGGGGGAGCGACATGCTGACCTGCGCGCCTGTTGTCGCCAGCGAAGCGAGGGATACACTAGTTCCATTTGAATCCACCCGATACGCGCCGCCTGCGCTGCTCGTGTCGTATCCCATGTCCACTCCGCAGCAGCATCGTTGGTAGTACAGGGGGCTGTCGATCGCAACGAATTCTTGCGTGTTTTTAGCCAGCAGCGTAGCCAGATGGACGTTGGGCGATCCAAGCGGGATGGCATCGTACGGCTGAGCCTCTCGCCGCAGCTCGCGCTCGGGCCTAGCCTCGCGCAAGTCGTGGCCGCCATGAAGGCAACGTCGCGCCTCGAAACGCTGCGTGGCGTCGAGGTCTCCGTGGCACGCTGCGCCTTTGGCCTCGACGTCTACGAGAACCTGCTGCCGCACGTTGCGACAACGTTCGCCCACGCAGCGTACGTGCATCTCGACTTGAGCTACGCGTCGCTGCCATCTACCGGGCTCGTCTACCTCGTGGAGCATCTCTTGGCTGTCCATTTTCACCCGCATGGTTGCCGCCTGCGGCTGACGCTCACGGGTCTCCGGCTGACGACGGCGGATGTGGAGGCGCTGCGCCACCTCGCGCCGGTCCTTGACGGCCTGTGTCTGCGCGAAAGCATCCCTTCCGCCAGCGTCGCGCGCGCATGTACGTCCGCCGCGTGCCATGGCTTAAACCTCACTGCTACTGCATCTACTGTCTAGTCGTCGACAGTCTCGGCGCCTTCTCGGAACTCGTCGTGCTCGACTTGTCCAAGGTACTCGACTCGTCTCGTCGAGCATTTCATAGGGCTGTCTAGATGTTTTTCGCGCGCCGGGATCCCTCTCTCTTTCAGCGGTTCGTCACGCATGTGACGACGCCGACGCCGCAAACGACGTGCATCTGGCCTCGCCTGACATCCCTCTCGCTCGAGCACAACGCGTTCCCAGCGGACGATGTGGTTGCCCTTCTCTCGGCGCTCCTGTACGGCGCCTCACGCCTCTATTATTGCGTTGAAAGGTTCTTGGCGTAGGTACTCGACGTCGCTGACGCACCTCTCGCTTGCCTACTCGCTGCCACCAGTAGACACGAACCTCGGCGCGTGGCTCCTTCGCACAATCTTGCGCAACCCGTCATCCTCTATCCGGTCGCTCAACTTGGCAGGTCTTTCGCTCCAGCATGATATCGCATCGACCTTGGCAACTGCTCGCCCCGACCAGCTCTGGCTCCTGGCGTCGCCGCCTCTGATGCCTGTGAACATTCCCGACGGCGCCTTCGTCGCCTTGCCGCGCAGCGTGGTTGTACATGGGTCGATGACGTCGTCGGCGCCGCTGTCTCTGAAACTGCGTCCATCGATCGTCCAAGTCATCGGATCGACGCCGACGTCCATGGCCGTGCTCCTGCCAGGTCACGGCGTCGGGTTCATTGACCGCGACGCAGTGGGTGACGCATCAACCATGAGAGATGTATCAACCACGGGGTGCCTAAGCGAGCTCGTGCTGGACGACCTCAAGCCGCATGGCATCTTGCCTCCGCTCTTGCACCTCCTTCGGGTGCCGGCAGAATTGAGCTCGCTGCGACTGCGCCGGTACCGGGCAACGGCAACCGAAATCGAAGCCCTTGTCGACGTTTGCAGCGGGCTGCGGGCGCTCGACCTCAAGGCGTGCCGTCTCAACGACGTGACCGTGCTCCTGCCTGCCTTGCCGCACCTCGAGCAGCTGAATTTGTACAAAAATCTCATTGGCGCCGTCGGAGCCGTGCGCCTGGCACGGGCGCTCGAGACTGCACCAGTGCTGCGATCGCTCAACGTGGCACGCAACCTCATCGGTGAGCTAGGTCTCGCGGCCCTCGCAGTGGCGCTCGAGGTGCGTGGTCCTGCATGAAGCGTGGCGTTGATAATTGGTGTAGACCAACCGGACGCTCGAGCACATCACGTTGGATGATTTGTCCCTTGAGGCACGGTTCGGCAACGTACTGTTGCGCGTCGAGCCATTGACGATGGAGGCCAGGTGGGCGTGTGTTCAAGCACTGACGTGGCGCCACCAGCGCAGTGCGACCAGCACCCATGCAGTGACGGTCTACAGCCAGCTGCTCGACCCGACGTTGATGCAGCACATATTTGGCTATGCCAGCCAAGCGATATGTCGGACGATTTCCCAACGCCCTTGATGCATGCTGTGCAAGCACAGGACCCGGGATGCAACCCTATCCCTAAGTGTATCGCCATCGCCAAATTTAAACTTTCTCGCTTGTGTAGCACTTGCCGCATACTAATGACGTCAAGTGGGCATCGCCTACAGCCTATCCTGCGTTTTTATACCCTACTGCCTGCAGTTGTTATTTCATGGGAGCACAACCCGATCGTTGGTACAAACCGAACTACTAAGGCCCGCGTCCATACAGCGTTTGCCCATTGCGCTCTGGAAACCACCGATAGAATACCGGCGATCGTAGAGCGCACAGCGAGTCTCTATACACCTTTCGTTTGGGAAAAATAGTTATCGTTGATATCTTCCATGAGGCGAAGAAGGAGCGATCAGGCGCACGCGAAAACAACCCTCTGCAAACCTGCGCATCCCGTCGATAGCGCTCACATTAGCCGCAACCCACCGGTACCCCATGGATGCACCATGGCGCATGGTGAGCGGGAGGACGTTCTATCTCTAGTCCTTTGGTAATCTAATCCTTGGGATTGCACAGGTTGTCGTCTAATGCTGTAACTCCTCGTCGGTTATCAACCGAGGCGTAACGCCACGCTCGCGCCAGGTCAAGTCCTTCATCGACGTCACACATCGCAGAGCAAAGATGCCACGGACCTACCCCAGCGCTGCGTTTGCCGCACCCGCCACGCGCTCCTGGCGCCTGCTCGAGTTCCTAGGCGTTCTCTACGTCCTTGGCTCGCTTGGCATTGGCATGGCAAGCCTCGCACTCATGTACCCGACGCTTGACAACGACTTCTTCTGGGTCCGCTTTCTCTCAAATGGCATGTCATCGGCGCTCGGACATGCTCTCAATATGCAGCTGTCGCTCCTCACCGACAACGCCTCGATGGGCATCGACCTACTTGATCCATCGTCGGGCTACGCGGCGAGCGACGCCGTCGGTGTCCACCCCGCGTACGCTCGCTTCATCATGTACCAAGAGCTCGCAAGTCTCCGAGGCGGTATACTGGGACTGCGCAACCTCCAATTGGCGGCAGTCGAGAACGTGGGCGCACAGTACTGCTGGGTCGACTTGGGTCGGCGCTGGGCCATGGCGTATACGCAGCGGCGGCAAGAGCGGTGTCGTGATCGCTACGCCACGAACGGCGCCATGTACATGGAGACGTTTCTGCGCAACATCGACTTCAACGCGTGGAGTGCGACAACCCAAGGCTCGTTCATGCAGCGCATCGGTGATGGCGTCGCCGAGTCTCCGGACGGCCCCGCCTTTCTCACGTACCTCGCGACGCACCAGATTCTACATGTAGAGAGCGAAGTCCGATTCTGGTCGGACGCAGGTCTCGACCGCTTTGTGCTTCAGTACACGAACCTCAACCAGATCGGGCTGGAAGAGTCGATCGAGGTAACGAATGCCCTTGGCGTGACGTCCCGCCTGCGCATCAAGTCGATTTCTCAAGTGAGCCGCGCGACCGTCTGGTTTACTTCGAGCATGACCTTGACGCTCATGTACGGCTTTGGCGCGCTCTCGCAAAATGAAAGCTTGGTGCGCAATGCGAGCACCTTCTTTGGTCACACCTCGCCCAATGCGATCGAGATCTACAACGTTGGTTCGCCGCTCAACGCATTCCAACAAGTTGTACACGACCAGCTGGGGCCGCTGGGCAACACGGACCCCCTGTGGGTGCCCGTGCCGTTGGACGTGCTGCAAAGCCGTGCAGGCGTTTCGACGCTTTGTGCTCACATCGTTGGCGTCCAATCCAGCGTTTGCTGCGGCCTATGACGCGCTGACCTCGATGACACTGCACCCGACGCCACGTCAATGGCGCGACCCGTCGCTCGTGTTTTTCGGCGGCAACCCCACGTGCCTCACGTCCGCAGGCTACTCGTTCGTACACGAGTCGTATGGCTTTGACGATGGCTGCATGACACCGATGCCGCTCACGCTCCACTGGTCCCCGCTCTTGAGTCTCTTTGCACTCTACATGGCAACCCTCATGGGAACCCCCACGACGCTCTGTGATCTTGTGCCACAGACAGAGATTGACGCGTGCTTTGGCTTGCTGCGTCGGACCGCGGATGCGCTCGCAACAGCCATCCCGACCGAGGAGGCCGCCATCAATGTGACCACGCTGACGACCATCTCGATATTTCAGATCGTGCGCCGGAATGGCTCGCTTGGGATCGAGACGCAGCGGCTTCTGGACCCGTCGTTTGCTTTCTTTGGCTGGATGAGCATCTACGAGTGGGCCATGAATACGCGCGAGGTCATCTTGTTTGATGGCGACATCGAGTCGTACGCTGTCATGACCTATGCCTACGCCCCGCTCCCGCTGCCAGCTTACACTGTCTTGTCGCGTTTGGGTGTGTACCTCTGGTACGGCAGCGTCGTTGTGAGCGGCGTTGCTCTCGCCGTCGGACTTTTCGTGCTTTGGCTTTGCGTTGCGCGCGCCCCACGGTCGTCACCCACCCCGTGGTTCTATTTCCACCGTCTCACGAGTGCTGCGTGGCTCAATCGCGGCCTCGTCATGGGGCGCGGCGTTGCGGCGCTTCTCTGCTTGTCCTCGGGCACCCTTCAGCCACTAGTGACGGCAAGTCGAGGTACCAAGTTTTTGGCGGGAGCGCGGTCTGTGGTTGTCTCGGGTATCTTGGCAGGAGACGTCACGTGGATCTTGTACGTTCTCCAAGATATTCTGCTACCTTTCACGCCGCATAGCGATGGCAACATGGCTTCATCTTGCACTCTCCTCGCGTGGTTGAGCTTGCTTGTCGTGGATGTGGCTGCACCTATAAAGGTCACGACCCATCTGCACCGCTCATGCCTCTCCGAGAACCTCGACTCGATGCTTCACTGTGTGAGTGGACACTTGAGTATCGGTAGCCTACGCCGTGTTGGCTGGACCATTGTTGCTCTGTGGCTTGTCGTACTCGGATCGATCCTGCTGTCCCGCGCCACGCACAAGCCGTCGACGCTGTCGCGCGTGCCGACGCTGCTCTTGTCGGCGGCCGCCGTCGCATATGCCCCCACAAGCGATGTAAACTTGTTGGGGCCGAGTGAGACGCAGACAAACGATATCGCAGCGGCTATGAACGGGGTCATTTGCGTTTCTCTTGGCGCTCGGAAAATTGTGTTCGACACCAAGCTCTGGATGCCTTTGCACGGCTTGTGCCTCGACGAAGGTGCACCCTCACTGCCCCAAGTCGCCACAAGATATAGCTTGCCTCAAACGATGCCTCTGGGAGCATCTCCCAGGACGACAGTACTCTACCCACGCGTGCCAAAGATGATGTTGCTATTGGGTGGTATTCTTTACACGGCGATCGGCCTCGTTTCCAACGTCGCCTTTCTCACGGTCGCACAGACGTTTTTGGCCAACGACTTTGGCTGGGCGGGCTTCAACAGCACCGGCATGCACGCCTTCTTGGCCAATGCCATCAACCAGCAGCTCCTCATCTCAACCAACACGACGCTCGACTTGAGCAGCCCCGCGCTTGCAGACATCTCGCAGCTCTACAACGACTCGATGTCATCGATTCTCCGGAGTGCTCACGCTCCCCGGCGCCAGCTCATGGACGCCAGCGTGCCTCTGACTCGGTTTGTGCAAGGCCTTCGAGACATGAACCCGTGCATGCTGCCATGGATGTTTACGCAGTACTGCTGGCTCGACTTGGATCGGCAGTGGGCCATGGCCAGCACCACAAGGCGCCAAGCGCGATGCGTTGCCTCACAGATGGACAACGGCGCCGTGTACTTGGAGATTCCTCTTCGTAACATTCGCGACTGGACTGCGTGGGACCGCTGCTGGGGCTCGTCGTTTGAGATTGGTTTTATTGCGCACCTTCAGACCTCGCAACGTGGTCAGCAGTGGCTCACGAATCTCAAACTCAACACCAATTCGGTCAATGACGAAGTGGCTCTCTGGCGTCGCTACAACCTAACTCGGTTCCAGTTGCAGTGGCAAAACTACAAGACGATTGGCATGGTCGACACCTTCTCCATCACATCTGCGCTAGGCTACACGTCGTCGCTGACGCTGAGTCGGTCGGAAGGCGACTACCATACGTGGATGCAGACATCGTATCGCATGTACTGGGCGCTCGCGAGCGATCTCTGGGCAATTAGCACCAACGCAACGCACATCGGTGGCAAGAGCTTACTGTCCTCAAGCCCCAAGTTTGCCTTTGCAAACACGTCAAGCGCATCGCTCTTGGCCCAAAACCTGACGCTGCCAATGCCGTTACTGCCTGGATTGGTGCGACTCGCGTCCGCACTGGGACCCTTTGGGGCCATCGACACCCATCTCCTCGCGCCACCAAGACTACTCTTGGACCTCCTCAACGCTATCTTGAGTGCCGTCGCCATGCAGCTCGTCTCGAACGAGTTGGCGCAAGCCGACTTTCTTTCGCTTCCTTCCAAGCCCAGTGTCTGCGAAGTACCGCCATTCCTCTTATCCGACCCTGCTATCATGCTCTTGGGCGGCAACCTCATGTGCGGTGACGACTTGCCGCCCGAGCCTGCGATTGGGCTCTACAGTGGCTTTGGGGCGTTCAGCGTCTGCAACGCCAACTTTTTCGAACTCATGCAGCTAAGCACGAAGGAACAGCTCTTCGCTTTCGCAGCCTTTCTCGCCACAACGGCGATTGAGCCGGCAGACTACCAGGGGATTTGCGACCTCGACAAGTGCTCTGGCATAGCATGTGCAGCCCAGTTTCGAGATGTTGTCGGCTGGCTAGAACAATACCCGGTTGTGACGCCCCGGGACCTTGTGTCGTCGGTGGTTCAGAGCATCCTCCAACTCAATCTCGAGACGACGCAGTACTTCTACGCGACCAACGACACGCCCCATGTCCAACTGTACCGTGTGCCGCTACTGACGCCGTCGGAGCGTCTCTGGGGCTTTTACGGCTGGTGCTTTTTGTACGAGTGGGCGACCGGGGCGCGCGAAGCTGTCATGTTCGCGGGTGACGCCGGTACGATCACGTCACTCTCCCAGCGGACGCCGCCACTAAAGATAAGCCCCGATCCTGGCGAGGTGCCCGTGAGCTTTGCGTCGTTTTGTCAAGGGTGCATTCTCTACGTCACGGGATTGCTCATTGCGGTGGCGGGGCTGGTGACCATCTACAGTCTCAGCCTGCGTGGCCGCATCGAAGCATTCAATCTCTTTGAGCTCAGCCGAATCGTGGGCCACGTGTGGGCAGGTCGACTCGTGCTTCTGCTACGTAGTTTGACGGCCATCTGGATTCTCAATACGGCGCCGCTGCTCTTAACGCAAGTCGGTGCCGCCACCGTGATGACGTCGACATCGCTGACGTGGTACAAGACGATCCTGGCGGCCTCCGAGGTCTCGTGGCTCGTCTACGCTTTGAACGACCTCTTCAGCGTCATGACGCAGCAGTACACGGCAACGTACGCGCCCAAGAGTGCATTTTTAACGTGGTTTGTCGCGATTCTCTGGTCGTTTGTGTCGCCCGTCGCAGCTCATGCACAGCTGCATCGGGACTGCTCCTACGTGGACATGGACGCCGGGCTTTTCTGCTCGAGTGCGATGATTTCCATCGGCTCTACACGTGGCAGCTTCGCCTTGGTCGCCATGGCGTTGGCGTGCATCCTGCTCACGTATGCTCTCGACCGGCTTCGGTTTCCTCAGCTACCGCCCGTACAAGTGCACTCGCTCTTGCTCAACGCGCAGAGTCTCTACTTGTTTGATTGGACCGACTGGGCGATCGAAGGCGAGTACTTTCTCGACAAAGCGTCGGCGCTCATGGCCGGCGTGCTCTCGATCGCGTACAAGGACAACTTGTACATGTTCGACATCAAAACATGGCGGTACATGACACTCCCCGTGCCCGTCGTGTCCCACGCCCTCGATCCATCGACGCGCGCCCGACTGCAGTCTGCGCTGCCGCTTGGACGCATCTAATGCTGACGATTGCACGGAAGAAGAGTCCATCCCATCACATCCATGACATTTTCCAACATAGTCTAGGCAAAGCAACAAAGGCAAGTCGCTTTCGATATAACCTCTCAAGGCACGATCGTGCGATATTCTGCAGTGATGACTAGTGCGAGATAGATAGATAGATAGATAGATAGATAGATAGATAGATAGATAGATAGATAGATAGATAGATAGATAGATAGACTTGAAACGGCGCCACGACCTTTCCTAGGGTGATGTTAGCGAGTAAGCCCGAGGGCACGCGGCCGCTCTCGGGTGTCGCGACGACGGCACTCTTGGCCACGTCAGACGCCGAAGCGAGACGGCCTATTGACGACGCGTACCTGACTGTGCTCCGCGACCGCCCGACAACGCCGGAAGGGCCCGCGAAGCTGTATGTGTTGCAGCTTCATGGTCAAAACGTCTCGTCCATCGACGAGATCTTTACTACCGTGTCCCCTCGGCACCTCGTCGCTCTCTACCTCCAGCACAACGTCATTGGCGCGATCGATGCGCTTCTTGTTTGTGCCAAGACGCTGCGCGTCCTCAACCTTGCCTCCAACGTCCTCACGGCGCTGCCAGGCGGCTCGTTCTGGGCTGCGTTCTCGGCTCTCTCGGTGCTCGATGTCTCGGACAACTACATTGCCAAGTGGCGCGACGTCGCCGGCTTGGAAGCAGCGACGAGCCTCGAGCTCTTGCGTCTTGCGGGCAACCCGATCGCGCTCCTCGAGGCGTCTCGGACCGTCATCGTCAACCGCGTAGCGTTTACGTCAAGCGTTTGTGTTGTCTTATTGCTCTCTTGCGGCTAGCTTCCTTTCTTGCGCGCCCTGGATGCCTACGTGGTTACGGACGAAGAGCGTATCCAGCAAGCCCGTATAATGACGACCATATACGCATCCTGGAGGGCTCAAAATTCTCGTCCATTAGAGTTTGGGCCGCGCTTCAGTGCTTTACATGCGTCGATGCTCTGCAGGCTCTGGACCCCGTGGGAAGCCAAACCCGTTGCCGTCGACGCCAAGGTGCGTACTGCACTCTGCAAGACGCTATCGGCGCTCCACCGGCAGTACGAGCGCAACAGGTCAGCTCGTTGCAGCACACGGTGTCTCGGCATCCTCGCTATTGGTAGTCCTGTCTTGATCGTCCAGCGCGTCTACCGAGGGTACCGAGCGCGCAAACACGGCCTCAGAACGCTCCGAAGCATGCTTGCCGCCGTGCGACGCATTCAGCGCAACATTCGAGGTTGGGCCTTTCGCCGCTACCTTTTGGTAGAAAATATGCGTGCTCTGGGTACAATCGGCTCAGGACGCAGCGTAGAGACAGCTGTGTCTCGTGGTAACCAACCACGGCGACGAAGCCCTCTTGGTCTCGACGCTGCGAAAGCAAAAGCAACGCGCGATTCCCAAAATCATGTCGGTGTGGCTCCGCCGCCGACGCATCTACCTCCGCAACAAGGCCGCGCTGCGCATCAAGCAGTTTCTGCGCGCAGCTGTCGCTGCGATCCAAGCAATGCGCGCTCGGCTCCTTGCGTCCCCATGGACTTTAGCGATCGTGTGCACGCCGGCATCGCTGCCTACGGTTCTTGCCGTCGCCAAGATTGCCGCCCACCGCGAACACCACGTAAGACAATGCGTCTGCAATTGAATCGGACAGATGTCGAATGCAGGCGTGGGGTATCCCTGGCTGCGCACTAACCAGCCGCGTCGTTGCCACCGGCCCCATTGTCGTTCGGCCTTCAGGCTATCATTTTCACCACGTTTTTGCGCAGTTGCAGCGTCCGCGACACTTGGCGCGGAGTCCGTGTGTTTTAACCAAGTGCGACGACATGACGCTGCTCCAGAGCCAGCTCCACCTCTTGCGCGACGACGCCGAGCAGCTATCGGCGCTGCGACCGCGAGAGAGCACGCCGCTGCATCGACAGCACATTGCCGCTCTTCGCCACGAGGTGGCCCAGCGAATTCGCCTTCTGGACGCCACGCTTCAGTCGACGATCCAAACCCATGCCGCGCGGCTGGTACCTCTCCGTCTAAAAACACGTATGGACTCTTTTCGGTCGTAGACATGCAAGGCACGGAAGCGAGCTGTTCGGATCCGAGCCCGCGGTGTCCAGTACGAAGCTAGGAGTGACATGGTACTCCAACGCTTGCATAGAAACCCCAAGCACGTCACGCCGACGCGGCGCGATCTACCGCCGCCGACTACGTACGAGACGCTTCTGACCTTTGTCCCCACGTCGTTTGCCATGTACTGGCGCATGCTGTACTTGCTCCGCCGGTCGCACGGCTTCGACGACAACGTGCTCTGCATCTACTCGCAGGACGACGTCCGCCGCCTCGCTGCGGCCGCACGCATTCAGAGCGTCTACCGGTCGTACCGCACGCGCCAGCGCACCCAGTTTGCCGCTGCGTTTCTACAAGCCCGCGCGACACTCTGTCTCCAGCGGTACATACGCAGTGCAGTGTCGCCGTGCATGAAATGCGCTCTAGGTGGTGGCGCAACACGCTGTACATTTACCGGGTGCTCGCACAATGGACGCATTGTCTGCGAACGGTGGCATCGATCGACTCGAACGTGTTGTATGTGGAAGAGCGTGTCTTGACACTCTTGCGTGCCCCCGCGATGCTTGAAATGGTCATGTCGTCGTTGCCCACGCGGGCGTCGCACCACTGGAGGTTCAAGTTTACGCACAAGGCGCTGCATATTCCCATCACGCTCGAAGAGAGCTTGTCGCGCCTGCCCGAAGACGAGCAACAGCAATACCTTAGCACGTTCCTCGTCGACAATGGACTGCACCGCGTTGGGTTTCCCCTCTGGATGCCCAGCACACCCTTCCATGAGATTGTCGGTCGGGAAGAAAAGCATGGCTCCAAAGACCAGGTACCACGATGATGGATCTATCCACGTATCCAACGATCGTGTGGATCGTGTAGGCCAGCCACCTCTTTTCTATCGGCGTCAACGAGGTGCCGGCCAACGACGTGTTCTTAAAGCCGCTCTTGAGCTCGTGTGATCCAAAGTTTGGTCGATTCCAGACATGCCTCGACGTCGTCGCCGACAGCTACGCGCTATGGAACCATTCAGAGGCCGATACGGTGCCCATGGCGTGGGGCAAAACGTGCGGCGTGCCCATGGTCAAGCTCGAGTTTGACTCGGTCCAAGAAGCTCGGCACCGCGCCGTTGTGCTGCTCCTCAAGACATACGACGCGCGCACGCAGACGTATGCGCGTCTGTTTACATACTCGATGCTGCGGTACCTCTGGCTGGACAAGCCGGTACGCCAAATCTGGATGCCTTGGATCTGATGTTGGCGATGGACTAGACATGTCTGCGGTCCGGCCATGTCTTTTCGAGCCACTGGCACGCGCTTCGTCTCGCACTGCCGTCGCGTTGGGGTACTTTTTACCGCGAGTCCGTCGCCACAAGCCGAGACCGACGCGGGTGTCCGACTGCGGGCTCATCGCACTTGGCGCGCCTCGCACGCTTGAGTGACCAGCCCCTTCTCGACTTGTCGCTCGTCCAGCCGCCACCCATGCCCACCGACGATAACAGCAACGACGGGAGCAGCAACAACAACAACACTGCGAGTTTGTCGACACTCTTCCCCGAGGTGGTTCCCGCGACGGTTTACATCAGCGCGCACCCACCCCGCGACCTTCAGGAGCTCAAGGAGCAGCAGGCACAAGGCATTCGGCTCGAGACTGCGTACGCCGAGGCCGCGCTCCAAAGCATCGCAATGGAAGAGCTGCAAGAAAAGCAGTTGCAGGTCGCCATACAGCACATGCCACGCCCGCCGCCACCCATGGTCACGGAAGTGGCTGCGCGAAATCGGCACGAGAAGCTCCAGGCCAAGATGCGCGCTGTCGAGGGCGCGGTGGCGCTCCACCAGCGCGATCAAGCTCGCGCCAACCAGACTCTGCATCGCATGCGACTGACCGAGCGAGCGGCTGAGGCGCGAGCGATCGACGAGCGCATCGGCCACTGTGAGCGGGCGGCGGCGATCGCAGCGCAAAAGGTCGCTGTCGACGCGGCGCTCCAGCGAAATGCGTACGAGCAGCAACAGCGTCTTCTTATGCAGCAGCAGAACCGAGCGGTGCAAGCCGCGCTATCGACGCGCAAGAAGGCACTGCGGGGGTTCGCCCAACGGTTTGGGCAGCAGGCCGTGCGGCTCACGCGTCTCCAAGCGCAAGACGACCGCGACCAAGTGCGTGCGACGCAGGCGACACTCCCCGTGCTGCTCGCGGCCGACACCAAGCACAAACTCGCGGCCGCGCGCGAGTCGGAGCAAACGAAGCGCAGTCATGCATTCGTCGAGCGTCAGAAGGCGCGAATTGAGCAGCGCGATGAGATTCGGGAGGCGCTCGAGACGCAGGCGCTGCAGGACGACTACCGCCGACAAGACATTCGGGAGCGCATTGGGCGCGAGAAGAAAATCAAAGCCCACTTGCGAGACGACGCCAACGACAAGCGATCCAAGCACCACCACACTCTGGACCGTGTCTCGCTCTAGTATGTCGTCCGTACCAGATGCATTTGGCTGGTCGCATGTCAAGTGCACGTCTTGTTTCGTGCGTGCAATATGTCGACTTGCCACCATCGATGCACAGAAAGGCGCCTTTAAGGTCGACGGTATTGTCTTCTAGATTAAATAGACGAAGTTCAAGGAGCCCTGGCGTCAGGAGAGGCTTTTGTACCCCTTGGCGGTGGACGCCAGCGGTCACAGTCGTATGTGGTTGGGCTTGCGTTGCGGCATCCGAGGTGCAACCAGTGGATATCAAGAGTGTTTTTTGCATTACATGACGATATCTACTGGTTCAGAGTCACCGCTTAGCAGTTTAGGATAGCCTTCTAGTCGGACTACGCGTACGAGAGCTCGCCAATGCAGTGTGAAGAGGCACCGAGAGAGAGAGTCCATCGGGTGCCCACCGCCTTAGGCTTGCGTCGAAAGGACGGTATTGGCGGCCTGCAGCACGGCGTGAACATCGTCGGCCGTCACGTCCAGATGCGTCACGGCTCGAATCTGGTTGTGCGCCTGGCCATAGCCACCTAGACAAGACAACTCAGATCTAGAAGCAACACGTTGGATTGACTACCGCCAAGGAGCACGCCAAGCGCTTGCATCCGACCGAGAAATAAGTCGTTCGTCATCGCCTGCGCGTCCAGCGTAAAGTACACCATATTGGTCTCGACGTTGGCGACGTCGACGATGATGCCAGGGATATTTGCCTACACGAGCGCGTCATCGCCAACGCCATCAAGATACAAGCACGTACGAGGCCTTGGGCGAGGACCTTGGCGTTCGCATGGTCGACGGCGAGACGCTCAATGTTGTGCTCGAGAGCTACCAACCCTGCCGCCGCGAGGACGCCCGACTGGCGCATGCCGCCACCCAGCGACTTGCGCAGCCGCATCGCCTACGTCCCTTACATAAGAGAGAGGATGCAGCGACCCAGTGCACCACCTTGCGCATGAGCTCGTCGTCGCCGGCAAGGATGGAGCCGACGGGCGCGCCAAGACCTTTGCTCAGACACAACGAAATCGAGTCGACCGACGCCACGAGGTCGCGCAACGGCGATTGCAGCGCGACGCTTGCGTTAGCGAGGCGCGCACCTAGTTAGCTGGAGGTTCAAAAAGAAAAAAAGGCGGGAATCGGGGTACCGTCCATGTGCAGCTTGAGGTTGTGGCGCGCGCAGACGGCAGCAATGGCGCCAATAGACTCGGTCGGAATGACGCGCCCACCACACGTGTTGTGCGTATTCTCGACAGCAACAAGCGACGTCCTTGCATGCCATGAGCCGACAAGTTGGCGGAGCGGAGCGTACCGCGGGTAGTGCGGGTCGTCGTCTCGGATCGCGCTTTCAATGTCTGCAGCCAAGAGGTTGCCATTCGCTTGCGTCGGTACCGTGTTCATGCCGACGCCCAAGTAGGCTACATGCACGAGTTGTTGCGTGGGCGGATGCTCATACTAGGTCAACTGTACCGCTCACGCCCGCGCCTTCGTACGTAAAGATGTGCGACTTCTTTCCCAGGATGACTTCGTCGCCGCGCTGGCAGTGCGCACCAACTGCAATGAGGTTGCTCATCGTGCCGCTACGCAAGGCGCCATGAGCTATCGATGGTCATGGCAGCGGCGTCGTACGACGGGACAAAGAGTGCACGCGGCTTTCCAAGGAGGTCCGCAGCGGCTTCCTGGAGCTTGAGCACCGTCGGGTCCGTGCCATGGACGTCGTCGCCGACGATCGCATTGGCCATCGCCTGGCGCATGCGCGCGCAGGGCTGCGTGACCGTGTCGCTGACGAGGTTGATGAGGCGTCGTGCGGCAGCCATCGTTGATGCTCTTTTTGGATCGTTGCCAAAACACGGTACAGGACTCCCAAAAGGGAGCCAAATTGCCAGAAAAGGGTACTTTGCACTTGACGCGATGTAACTTCAACGTCGATGTAACTTCAACGTCGTGCTGTAGAGTGCCCCTAGAAACCGACAATGAACCAAGACGACGCCGCGCCCGAGAACGACGACGATGGTTTGGAGTTGCTGCAGCGCGCTCGTCTCCTCGTCCAGGCCGCCACAAACTTGCCCGACTTTAGCACCCTTTTTAGCAAGATCCCACCACCCCCCATCCTCGAAGACGACGACGAAGAGATGGCGATGGAGCCCCCCAAGACGACCAAGGTCAAGCCCAAAAAAGCTGCTGCTAGCAACCAAGACGAAGTCAAGTACGTCTTGCATTCTAGCAGACTCGTCGGTCGCACCTGCGTGAGTAGACACGACAAGAAAAAGACAGCCAAGAAGCCCAAAGAGCCCCAACGAGAGACGCCATCCCATCCGCAGTACGCTCCATCCGAGTACATTCACGATCTGAACGCGACGGTGCGTAGTGTCAAGCCCGTCAAGAGTTCACCACGGTCGCCCAAGACCGTCAAGCCGCCGAAGCCAAAAGTCAAGAAGGAGGTGCCGGAAGCCCCCATCGTCGACGACGCCGACCAAAAGGCGGCCCAAGAGCTCGCACGCAAGTACGCCCAAGAGCGCGCGGCGGCGCGCGTTGCCGCCAAGCAGCGCGAGAAGCTAAAAGAGGCCGAGAAGCAGCAACAGACTGAGGCGGACTGCGTCTCCGAGTTCTACGAGACGCTGGACGAGCGGGAGAAGCGGCTCAAGGAAGACCGGCGCAAAGCAAAGGAGCGCGCGCGCCACCGGCGACAGCAAGTGCAGCACGAAGAACCGGTCGAGGCTAAACCCGAGAAAGAGATCCACCACCCCGACTTGGACAAATTCCAGCAGCAAACCAAGGAGCGCCTGCTTCGGTACTTGAACATTTTGTCCATTGAATGTCGCGACATGGGTTGCATAGCGCCAAGGAGCAACGGCGACGCGAGGAGGAGCTCAAGGCGCAGCAGGCCGCCAAAGAATTGGAAGAGAAATTGCGGCACCAGCAAGAGGACGAAGAGGCACAAGACGAGCTCAAGCGGCGGGCTGACCAGCTTCGAAAAGAGACTCGTCGGCGCTTGAAGGCAATGGAGAAGCACAAGTCGGAGCTCGAGCGGTGCGACCATGCCTCTCTTCTTGCTCCTTTTTGGTGTCAATCATGCGTACTATGACGCGTAGAAAGGAGATGGAGTTGCGGCAGCAAGGCCTCGAGCGCTACAAGCACCACAAGGGTGAGATGGAGCGTGTGGCCAAGGGCATTATGTCCCACAAGCCAAAAGACGAGTCGACTTCCGAGAACGCAGTAGGATGATGGGATCACGGCTCTCATTCATGCATTGGTATAGCCACCAATGGAGGCCGAGCCGACAGACCCCGTTGTCGAGCAGGTAGACTCGCCCACGAGAGCGCCACCTGTCGAGGAACAAGTCAAGCTGCAAACAGCACCGGACGAGTGCCACGGCGAAGACGACGACGACGGAGCTCTGGGTGGTGCAACGCCAGATGTGCACCTGCCAGCAATCGTGTTGCCGCCGCTGGTCGACGATGCTCGAGTGCTACCCCAGGAGAAGCCAGTGCCGAAACCCAAGCAGAAGGCGGCGCCGTGGAAACGGCCACCAGTGCCGATGCCGAGTGCCGATGCGGTTGCGAGCCGGGCAAAGCTACCGAGCGCATTGCCCGGCGGGCCGCCGCTGCCACCTCCGCGCGACACGTCGTACTCGGACAGGCTCAAGAGTCGGTCGGCACCAGCGAGCTTGGGCTCCAGTGACGGCCCAGGCCAGCGGCTCGTGAGCGCGACGCGGGACCGTGCCAAGTACGTTGCATACCTCGGCCACTCTACCGGTTTCCTCATGCGACGCTGCGTGTACTATTAGTCAAATGGACGCGCAGGCCAAGAAGATGTTAGCGCCACCCATCTAATGCTGCCGACGCCGTTCCGCCAGACCTTGCCGTTCTGCCAGACCTTGCTCGCCTCATGTAGTAGTAACATCACGCGCAACAGCTTTCTCCATACTACTGACCACTCGCTCCGTGCTCCTTGTGGCCGGACGCTGTCGCCACCTGGCATGTACTATGTTGCAGGGTACATTGCTATGCTGGCAACCACCGACGGCAATGGGTTCTCTTCGTCGTGAGGTCGGTGGCGGCGAGGCCGTCGGCGCGTCCCGCCATCTTGCCGACGTCGTCGGCTATTTCCGTGTCCGGATACCTTGCGGCGTCATCGGCCATTCGCTGCATTTTAATATTATTATTCTTCGCCACCAGGAATTAAAATGGGTCGTTCTCGGGTAATTAAATTCGCGAGCGACCTGTATTTTTTGCAGTCGCACAAAACCACCGGCGCCGGTGGACGGATCGCGGACGCCGACAGCGCCTGCTTGCATCTCTTTGCCGCCAAGTCGAAGCATCGAACCCCGACTTGCTGCGACCGCCATGGCCCAGAACTACATTGCACAGAAGCGTCTGCATGCGTCGAGCAAGGAAGAGGCGGCGGCCCATCGCCAAGGTACGAACGATTGCCTACTGCCCTCGAGCTCATGCAAACGACAATGCTAGCCTCCGACGACAGTGACGAGTCGGAGCCCGAGAACGATGCCGAGCCTGCAACGCAGCCGCGTGGCAAGCAGCTGCGCTTTCCCGTCCCGGCCGCCAGCACCGAGGGCTCGGCCTCGGACGAAGACTCGGACGACTATGCGTCTGTCAGCAGTAGCGACTCGAGCGACAGCGAGGACGAAGCGGCCTCGGCCCAAGTCCCGGAGAAAGAGCCACAGTACATTATTCTTGGCGCCCGCGCCCGCAAGCGCGTGCGGCCACCCAACGCGTACTACAGAAACATGGCAGCCTACGTGCGCGGCTGTCTCCTCCTCGTACGGTCCAAGACCAAAACAGACCTCGACGACGCGGGACACGTAGCGTTCCGGGCCGCGCTGGCAGCCAACACCGTCGAGCGCGTCGTGATCGCAGACGCACCACCCGAGGTCCCGAAGCCCGTCGAGGCGCCACACGTGGCCAAGCCCGTGGATGTCCCGACAACCGAGAAACCCAAAAAGAACGCAAGGAGAAGAAGGAGAAGAAGAAGACCGAGTCCGAGAAACGAAGTAGCGCCAAGAAGAAGGAGGCGCCGAGCTCGCCAGCCAAGCCGGCACCGACGACCGTGACGCCGCCGCCCAAAGAGATCGCCAAGCTCCCGCCCAAGCCCGTGCCCGTGCCAAAGGCGGACTTTAGCGCGAAGCGGTCAGCCCCGGTCGCCGAAGCGCCACCGGCCAAGAAGGCCCGGACGGCCGGTCAATTCCTGATCGCGTCATCCGCCGATGTGGCCGACACGGCGCGCATCCTCAAGGAGATGGACGAGCTGCGAAAAGAGGGCGTGAGCCTCAAGCACTCGGGCGACCGCAAGACGGACAAGTCGGCCACGGGCGTCGAGTACCTCCGCGCCAGCATCAAGTTCCTCCGCCAGGCGCTGCTCTTCTCGGACCTCAAGGCCATCTCCAAGATGACCAACGACCAAGTGAAAGCTGCCAAGTGGGGCAAAGACTCGACGTCGACGATTGCGCAAACAGCCGCGCTCATTGAGAGCACGATCGGGCTCTTCAAACAGGCGGGCAACCGCCGGCTCATGGCCGTGAGCTACAAGCTGGCGGCGATCGTGTACTTGACGTCGTACCGCCTCCAGCACAACATGCTCTACGGCCACTACTCGCAGCTGCACATGGCCGGGCGGTCGCCCGACGGCCTCGGCGCGCCGGTGCTAAGTCCGGACCAGGAAGGCATGCGGCGGCTCATTCTGCGCGAGATGGGCCAGGTCATGCGCGGTTTTGACTTTTGGCGCTACTATGAAAGCACGGGCATGAGCGTGCTCCCGGACGTGACGGACCCCGTCACGGTCGACTTTAACGTGCTCTGGGACGCCCTCGAAGTCGAGCTGAGTGCGAGTCCGTAAACCAGCAGAGTGGTGACAATATATACCCAACGTAGTGGCTCCGGTGAGATGACAATATGCTGCAGTGATGGGCGTCGAAGCAAGTGTCGTTGGCGGATCTCGCTACCTTGGCGCTGTGTCGCTTGGCCGTGCATGGAGCGAGCGATAATAAATGGGCCACGAGCATCACGTTGCATGTCACAGCTACGCATCGCTTGGTCCCTTTCTGAAAGGCTGGACAGCGTCCGCAGCGTACTAGTACTTGGTAGCGGTTGGCCTAGCAGCTTTGCGCCGCCTCGCCATCCAAGCTTGCCGTCGTCGAGGTAGTACCAAGGCCATACGCTTTACTTCTGGCCTTGGGAGTACGCTTTTCCCTGCCCTGGCACAGAATGCCAACCAAAGATCCCGTCTTGTTGATCCACCGATATCAAAGGTGTTCAAGACAGCAAAAAAATATCATATCGACTTCTACGTCGGCACACGAGCAAGCAGCCTCCGAATGTATTGGACTTGGTCTCCACCGTGATTAGGGTTCGGGGCGGTTGCGGCTAGGGTTCTTCGGCGAAGGCCAAGCGCGTGGATGGCACCGCCCGGTGAGACGTGTTGGCCTCGATCGCTCGCTCATAGTAGCGCTGCTTGGCCGACTTGGGTACTCGATTCGCCTGCGTTTCGAGAGCGATGACGTTCGCGCGAATGGCCTCGTGGCGCCGCTTCTTTTCGTCGACGCTGAGCTCCATGCGCTCGAGAAAGTCGGTCCCAATGTCGCCCCACGCCTATCGCGCGCACATCGGGTGGATAGAGCGATCGTTCGAGTCGGCACCTTGGGCAAGGCAAAGAGAACGCCGCAGAACGTGCATCGCTTCTTCTTGTCGCGGAATTCGGCGTACGACTGCGTCATGCCACAGCGCGGGCACTGTTTCTTGTTCTAAACCATAGTACAACATCGCCGTGTTTTGTGACATGCTGCAAAAGACGATAAGATATGTACTTGGCGCAAGCTGTACTCTTCTTCGCCCCGTGTCGCCTGGAGCCGCTACGCAAGGACCAAGGATGCAGCGCAAAACGAAGAAATCGTATGAAAAAAGGCGAGCGTACCTTTTGTCGGTTGTGCTCGGCGGCTTCCATGCGCGCAATGAAATCATCGGGCCCTGCGTCTTCGTCCTCGAAATGGTTGACGAAGTCATAGCCGCACGCCGGATTCTTCATCGCGGCCAGCTGGGACCGCGTCTTCTTGGGCTGGAACCGACACTGCCGCGCGTCTTCGTCGGAGGCAAACGCGCGCTGCGTGGACGTCGTCTTGGGCTTGGACAAGGCGTGGATCGTCTCCTAGAAACGGTCTAGTACATACGAGGCGTGGACGAACATAGCACCTTGGGCAACTGACGGGACGTGTATACTGCGGCGTCGACGGCAACGGGCGTCGGCACCGCCGTCGTTGGGACTCTGGCGCGGCTCTGCTTGCGGCTGTAATCGACGCGACCTTGGTGTGCACGCGGTTCTTGGCGCGGCAAATCGTTTGAATGTTTTCGCTTTGGCGACTTCGCAGCGACGCTGTGGACGACCTTGGCGTCGGTGTCTTGGAGGAGGAGCCTGGCGTCGATGGCGTCGACTTGGCGTCATGCACCGTTGTGGCTGTTCTGGCTGTTGTGTCAGTTGCGGTTGCGGCCATGGGTGCGACAGGTGAAGGTGTTGGCTGGTCCATCTTGGCGTGCTCCGAAATGAGGCTGGCTTGGCACAGAATGTCGGCGAGTTCCGCGTCGTCCTCAAAGCTGCCCGAGCCCGCGCCATCGTGCTCGTACGACCGAGCCGTGTCACTCATGATTCAATCTTTCTTCTAATTATATACACCAGTTCCAATCCGAGATGCCCACCGACATCCAAGCGCTCAAGGGCACGATCGAAGCGGCGATCGAAGAGCTCGTGCGCCTCGCCGACACCAAGATCAACTGGACCAACGGCGCCGGGAAAGGCTACATCTTCCTTCCAGGCGTCTACCAGTGGCACGCCGATAAGGCTGAGGTCGCTCCGCCCGTTGAAGCGCCGCCGACAGAAACGCTCGCGCCGTCCGAGCCACCGCAACTCGTCGAGGTTGAAGCCACCGATGGGGCCGTCGTACCCGACGTGCCCGCGTCCGAGCCCGTCGTCGTCACCGACCAGGCGCCCGTGCGTCGACTCTTTCCGTCTTCTTTCTCATAAAAGGTCGTAGGAGGCCGCCGCCGAGTCACCGCCAAAGGAGCAGCCACCGGCGCCGATCGTGGACGACGAGAAGCGGTTGGACCGGGAGCTCGCGCAGGTCGCGGCCTTCCTCATGAACGACGACGACATCGTCTCGATGAGCTTTACGCTGACGCTCCACGGCGACAACACGTTCGAGTACCTCTGGAAACAGAAGCGCGCGGGCGCTCGCCCCATGGAGCACAAGGTCGAGCTCTACGGCTCGTGGTCCAAACCGGTTCTAAACCGCGACCGGTACGGCGAGCGCGATTCGCGCCTCTTCCTGGACACGCACCGCGCCCGGTTCACCCGGCTCGCCAACTATGGTACTCGGATTTCGGTTCATGGATGGTCTCGTACGAAGTACGTGCATTGTAGATGCAACGACTGGCGTCTGGCGGCAGACGCTCCGGACGCTCACGCGCAACGGCGAAGACTACGTTGTCTGCGGCCAAAATGACCGCGGTCTTCCGCCGATCCGGCTCGTGTTTACCGTCCTTGACGGCAACATCCTCGAGAGCAACGGGCTGGCGTTCCCGCATGACATTGTGTCCAACTCGATCTCGAGTCGGATCCTCTCGGGCTTGACGAAGAAAGCCGCCAACAAGCTTGGGACGCCGCTGGACGTCATGACAGACCGGTGGCTGCCCTGCCGCAAGCTCTGCCTCAAGCAGCTCCCTTACAATGGCGTCGTCACGCCCTTCAACCCGCTCGTCGCGTGCGTCACTATACGATGCGGGAGGCGACTCACGCGATGATGCTATAGGCTGGCCGAGATCCTCCACACGCGCGGCGAAGCCGCCAACCCAGGGTCTTGTCTTCTCGAGCGCAAGCCCAGCACGACGGTACTTTAAGGTCGGTAGCTAGTAGTCGGGGGTGGCGCACGAGTCGCGGCGCCACGGACGCTTCTTGAACACGACGTCTTCCATGAAATCCCGGGTCGTGAGCGCCGGCGTGCCCTTGGGTCGCGACGGGTTTAGAATCGACTGCGGCGTCGCCCGCAGAAAGTACGGCATCGACATGCGCCGAGATAGTTCGTCGTCGACGACGGTGGCTGGCACGCGGTGCAGCGGCGCAGAGATGAGACCGTTCGTGATGTACGCGAGCGTCTCGCCCGCAAACACGGAAAAGTGAATCACGTCCGCATCCGCTTCGACGTCGGTCCAGAGCATGCGGTCAAGGTTCCACATCTGGAGCCCGGGCACGGTCGCGCACGGCGAGACCGTGACGAGACCCAAATCGGCATGCTACAAAGACACCTTGGATGAGACGCATGTGACAAATACAGACGACGATGACGGACCGAGCCACACGACATGTTGATATCGAGGCGGTTCGGGTCCACGAATTCACCCTTCTTGTTCTTGTAGTTGTAGATACGCAGAACGGACGCGCCGTACCGACGCGTGAGGTCCGTGGTCGTGACGTCGGCGTCCGACGCTGGCGGCGGCGCGTCGCTGTCGAGGAGTTCGTGGAACATCCAGTCCCGGTCAATGTTGAGGATGTTGCAGACGGCCTCCATGCAGTCGCGGCCAATGCCATCCAGGAGGTTGAGCAGCGAGAGCATCTGCGCGGCAAAGTCTTCTTGCTTGGCGTCGACAAAGTACGGCCGCGGCCAGACCGTGCCGCTGGCGGCGAGCGGGCGGCGCATCTGGAGGTACTCGCGCGTCGCGTCGCCGTTGAAGCCCACGTAGCGGCCTTTCGAGACAAGCGACATGGGTTCGTCCTTGCTAGGCTACAACACGAAGTGGCACCAACCTCGTCGTAAGCCAGAGAGACCTTGGACCAGCACATGAGCGACTGAAAGGGCGACCGGGGCTTCTCGTCCTCGTCGCTCGGAACATAGTCGGTGGCGTCGACGCGCTCCGACCAGCGCTGTTCTGGCGGCAACACAAGCTAGCGACCACGTGTGCTATGGATGCGTTGGGTCGGCCATGGCGGTAGGTACCTGGTCGCGAAGCCATTTTCGAACGGCGCGGAAGGCCTCGATCGGAATGCCGGCTTGCTCGGGCGTCACCTCGATCCGGGCAAAGCCAAAGGTGCGCATCTTGTCGACAAAGTCGAGTTGCGCGTGCTGCTGCTCGACCGAGTTGTCGCGACGGCTCAGTGCAGCGCCGTTGATCGGAAAGAAGGGCGACGACGGCTCGCTCGACGGCGGGATCGGCTTGGAGAGCGACACAAGCGGGCGCACGATGAGCGCATAGTCGACGATCGGCATCTCCTGCCCGTCGTGGAGCTCTTCCAGCATGCGGTGCGCGACCGTGTTGAGGAGCACGAGCGGCAACGGCGGCGAGTACGCTTCGAGCGCCGGCACGACCGCAAAGATGCTGTTGCCGTCGGGAATTGCAAACTTGTCGCGGAGCCAGAGCTCGAGGTGGACGCACTGCGTGCCTTTAGCCGGGTCCACGGGTGCGATCGTCAAGGGCAGCTTCAAGAGCGAGTCAATCATAGATCCCGTTGTGGAAGAAGCGGATGCGCAGCGGCGCCGACTTTTCGAGGAGGGTCAGCGCCGCCGCCTCGGCGCTCGACGTCTCGGCTTGGAGGCCCGCGACGGGCGGGCTCGTCGCCGGCGCACCCGTCGGCGCGTCATTAAGCGTCGTCAATGCGTCGGCAGGCTTCGTCGCCGTCGGCGCGTCTGTCGTTGTCATGTGGAGCAAGGCAAGCGGATGAAAGTGCTTTGTCGGTCGCTATTAATATCGCAACCTGGCATCGGAGTTTATTATTATTCACGCTACACTTGAGAATACTATCTGCAATTGAATGTGGATGTTGTATGACCTTGAAGTACCGCGTGCTTGCCGCATTTTTTTGGCCAAGAAGATGTGGATACCTTCCTCCTAGCTCTTCCTCCTCCTTCGCCTCGTCTTCTAGCCGACGACCCCGAGACGCCTCGAGGAAGCCACCGAGTAGCAAGCCTCATGGCGCCACATTGCCCGCGTGTTTACGAGGGACCAACTGGAGAAAGGACGCAAGCGCAGGATGATTACTTGAGGAAGACAACGACGGCCGAGATGTTGTCGCAGCTACCTTGCTCGAGCGCGGCGTCGACGAGGAACTTGGCGGCTTGCGGTCGGTTGAGCGGCTCGAGCGACAGTACAATATTGACGGCCTCTTGGTCGTCGAGCTCGTCCCAGACGCCGTCGCACGCCAAAATGACAAACTCAACGTGCTCGTCCAGCCTAGGTCGGGCCACTTTAGATCCATTGTCATACCAAAGTGGCTGGTCGTACGGCGTGCGAGAGACGAAGGGCTGCGCGGTGACCCACGGCTTGAGGCTCCGATCCCCAAAGCTCCTATATACTCCATGCAGAAGCATTCGTAGCAGAGATCGAGCGGTACCGCGTGACGGCGAGGACACCAGCGACACGATGCTGCATGACAAAGCCACCGGCTTGCGCGATGCGCGCCGCCTCATCCGGGTTTTCGGCCTTGTGGTCCTGTCAATGGGTAGGCACAGGGAGGTCAAGGAAGACGCGCGTGTACCTGGCTTAGCCGCGTCGCGCGACCGCTCTTGCACATGACTGTCCGACTACAGCACGATGAATGACGCGTTGAGGGGGTCGTGGATCGAGAGCCGCTAGCCACCTGTCACCGGCGTTGGCGGCGTACAAGACGCGCGTCGGCCCTTCCTGCACAATCACAGCGACAGCGGCCGTGGACCCAGCGTTCTCCGAGAAATCTTCGAGGCAGCAATCCATATCGGAAAGGATGAAGGCTCTAATGGCACGCGTCACGTAGGCGGTGTGTTTGGTGGGGACGCACCGTTCGAGGAGCTCGTCCATAGTCGCGCCGTCCTTTCTTGCGGCCTCGGCCTCGAGCGTCTTGTGCAGTCGGTCTTGCAAGAAGGTCGAGACGCCCCGACCTACAGGCAGGCTCAGCACCTACGCGCGACCGCTTGGATCGCCGACCGCCATGGCCATCGAAGACCGCGAAGAAGCCGTTCTGGGGCGTGTGGAGGAAGCCGTCGACGACGCGGATCGCGTCTTCCATCGTCTTGCGCTTGCTGGGATTCTGCATGCGTCCATCAGGATCATCCACCATCGCCTCGTCGCCTCGTACCATCTCCTCATGGAAGCTCAGCAAGCGGCAGCTCCCGAGCGATGCGACCGGCGCTGCCATGCGGATACCAACGTAAATAGTGTTAAGCAGTTTTAGTATGCGTCGATTTTAGTTTCGGCATATGCCCCAAAGAGCATTTCGCCTACGCTTCTTTCTCCTCGCGCCGACTTTCGTTGACTTAGCTTGTGAGCATGCACCCAGATCCGCAGATCTGCCGCCGGTTCGGCGCTCGAGCAGGTGAGTGCACCAACGTTCTTGGAAAGCAAGGTAAGGCAAGGTTTCGACGCGCGAATGACGCCGAATTTAAAATTGAATCTGGCAGAAGCGCAACAGCCAATCCAAACCCTCGATTACTTGGGTCAATTTGGTTCTCATCACGCAATGTGATTGGCTGCTTGAAAGTCCATCTTGCAAACGGTCATTTCCAAATTTACGATCTTCCGACCACAGCATCCTCATGACGCCAACAACGATGCGCGCGCTCGTCTACAGTGCGTATGGCCCCGCCTCGTCGGTCCTTAGCCTCAAGGAAATCGCTGTGCCATCGCTCCAGCCTGGCCACGTCCTTGTCAAAATCGGTGCCTTTGGTCTCAACGCGGCCGACAAGATCCTCCTCGCCGGCACGCCATTTCCGGTGCGCTTGGCACTCGGTGGCATTTTCCGGCCCCGCGCCGACTCGGTGCTTGGCGCTGACTTTGCCGGCACGATTGAAGCGCTGGGCGACGGCGTCACCTCGTACAAGGTTGGCGACGAAGTGTACGGCGAGGTGAACTTTGCGACGGGCGCCGGCGCGTTCGCCGAGTACGTGTGCGTCCCCGCCGACAGCGCGATGGCCCTCAAGCCCAAGCGTCTCTCGTTCGCCCAAGCCGCGGCGATGCCGATCTCGGGTCAAACGGCCCTTCTCGGTCTCCGCGATGGGCTCCAGCTTCAGGCCGGCCAGCGCATCCTCATCAATGGCGCGTCCGGGGGTGTCGGTACCTTTGCCGTGCAGATTGCCAAGGCGCTGGGAGGTCATGTGACGGCGGTGTGCAGCACAGGCAACGTGGCCATGGTGCGCGAGCTCGGTGCGGACGACGTCATCGACTACACCATCGACGACTTTGTGGCGAAAACGACAGTGCCGTACGACGCGATCTTTGACGTCATGGGCAACCGCTCGATGCGAGACTTTCGGCGCCTCTTGGTGCCGCGCGGCACGTACTTGGCCGTGGGCGGCGACCCCGCAACGTTCTTCTCGCGTACGCTGTGCCTCCTCGCGTCCAAGGTAATCGCGTCGCAGTCGCTGCGGCTGTGCATCTCGGCACCGTCCCATGCGCTGCTGACAGACCTGGCGCAACTCGTCGACCAAGGGCTCGTGACGCCGTGCGTTGAGAAGGAGTACGACCTGTCGGACGGCGTCGCGGCCATTGTCGAAGCCCACGAGAAACACGCAAAAGGCAAACGTGTTGTGAAGATTACCCCGATTTCCTAAGCGCTCAACACAAGAATGCATTCATTATATTGAATATTGATAGTACTACCCTTCTCCCAATGAGTCGTCCGTCGCCCAAACGCCCACAAGGTTGCCGAGTGCCATCGAAAAGTCCCGCATTTGGGGCTCTATGTTGGACTGCATTGCTGATTGAATGCTCCTCTTCACTTGTCACAAGAGGCAGCGTATTCTGCCGTTCACGAAGCAGACACTGCTCCACTGTGCTAACAAAGTCGGTACTGTGCGATGCTTGGTAAATTTTGAAACTTTAAACTGCGATTTCTCGAGCTCTACGCCGCCAACGGCGACGCGACCGCGCATTTCACACTCGCCAAAACGTTTTCTATCAGCTTGCAACGTACGAGCGATTTCATCATTCAACTTGATTTGGCGGTGGCGGGGCATCGAATCCTCCGCAGTTCTCTCGAGCGGATGAATCTCACCACGGATTGGTTGATATACGTGTATTTTGGTCCAATCGGAGCGATGCATACCTAATGACACAGCGACCTCCTTGCAATGGCAGTGCGGGGACGACCTCGGTGAGATGGAAGCACAAGCACGTACGTAGATGATGCAATGCCAGCATACAAGGTGCGCAAGCTCTGGTAGAAATTGGTTTATTCGAGCAGGTCAATTTGTGTTGACGAGTTGTAGTTGATGACAAGGCAGCGAGGGACTTGCCTCCCGAGTCGCTTGCTGCAGTTCCATCCGTAGCAGCCAACACCCTTGGAGACTTCCAGTCGTTCATCGTGCCCCACGATGATTGTGGAGGCTCACACAACTTGATGCCCCAACACACAGCAAGCACAGTCCATCAAAGTAGCGGAAATGCAAAATGTATCAAGTTGATACTACGTGGCTACGGGTGCGCGGTCGCGAGGAGCACGGCGGCCATGTCGCGTTTCCGCTGATAATCGCTGTTGTGGTTGGCGTTCTTTCCCGCGTAGAAGCTAATGAGCTTCGTCTTCTCTTCCACGTACAACGCCAAGTACGCACGGAGGTCGGTGCTGAACGTCACCGACACCTCGAGCGAACCCTTGCGCTCGCCGCTCGAGAAGAGATCCACCGTCGCCGTCCGCGGCGCGTCGAGGCTCGGCGTCTCTGTCGCGTCGTCGTCGTCGACGCTGAGCAAGTCCTCCAGCCGCATCGAAGCCTTCCCGACCTTGGAGTCGGAGAACATGCCTTTGGACATGAGCGTCAAGTCGAGCATGGACTCGAGCGGCTTGACGTCACTGAACGTGAGCGGCGTCGGCCAGCTGTACACGCCGCCCTCGCTCTTGGCAGGCGTCGTATCGAGCGCCGTCCGGTTCACATCGTCCAGCGCCACCGTGCAGTACAAGGTCGCCGAGGTCGACGAGAGCCCAGATGCTTTGGTGATGGCCAGGTCGATGGCGACGACGGGCCGCGCCGTGCTCACGGGCGTCACGTTGGCCTCCTTCTCGGCCATTTCGTTGAGCTGCTCCTCGAGACGACGCACGGCTTCGGACGCGGTCGGGCGCTTCGCCGGCGCATACGAAATGCACGACAAGGCGAGGATCATAAAGGCCGGGGGCGCCTCACCAAACGGCGCTGTGAGCGTCAAGTAGCCGTCGACGGTGCTCTTGAGGCGCTGCTTGAGGAGGTCGTCGTCGATCGGGTGATTGCGCTGCGTCATGAGGTACGTGAACGGCAGGTCGCGCGTGATGAGC